GTTTTTAATAATTCATTTATTAATAAATAAATGTATAATGTATAACTGTTACAGCTCGAAAGGCTGCAAGGCAAGGAGGAACACAACACCAGTTTACTTTTAAATGAACATCATTTATTAACAAAATGGTGCAGCCAGTAAGAAGTCCAGTGTGAAGGGTAGATGGTGAGGGAGCTGAGCCCATATACCTCACAGGAGTCTCTCACAGACATTGGCTGTGATGGTGACATTAACTCTGTAAAACAATGTAAATTCTAAAACTTCATAGGCGATGACTAATACTCTACTTCCAGAGATGCAGCGTCAACAAACTTAAAATGTCCTTACTGCTGTGCACCAGCCAGTGCAGAATGTCCTACAGAAACTTAAGGTGAGATAAAGAAATATTGCATCCTCTCATTTAACATTATCAATCCACTGTCGCCATACAGCGAGGCTTTTATTAAACACAGGCTCTCCTGCAAATGTGACAGATTCTCAGTTTAATGATGACAGAGTCTAATTTGTCTTTAAGACAAAGAAACTGGCAGAAAATGTAGGACTGATGGAAGGTTTACAAGCCAAGGTTTTTTTCTAAAAAAAATACTTAATGTGAAAACTGTTTTCCGAGATTAGCTTGCAGAGTTGTCTGACAAAATCCACTTTTAACCATTTGTTTCTCAGACTTAGACAAACTCTTACTGGATTTTTAAAATGAACTGTATTTTCATGTTGAATAAAATGTATTTAAATAGTTATTTGTGTCTCATGTTCAGGTGTGACTTCAACCGTCACTTTTGGGATACAGTGCATATCGGTATTGTCTTGGTGGCTGCATAGATGAGGGCTGTTTTTAAAAAAACAAACAAAAAGAAATTGTGTAACAGAACCTAAGGGGTGTGTGTCATGTCTGTAATCATTATACACCCCACAGCTTGACTTCAAAGCCCTTCAAAAATGGAAAAGAACAGGATTTGCAGTTTCCTTCACTGGGTCCCCCTCGTCTTTGTTCTGTCGTGCCCTTGTTTAATTTCCTCAAATTCCAGCTAGTCGATGACGATGGTGTGCATGGGTACCGCTGTATAATCCTGTCCTGTGTCATTTGTGTTGCTCTTGTAGCTCCATGGCCATCATTCCCCCCCCTGCCCACTACCTCTGGGAGGTGTCTTTCAAAGGCCCCACTTAGGGCGATGGATGACCAGCTGAGTGACGGAGATGAATCAATGGATGCAGCCTGTTCGTAGTGACTAGATTAGGAGACACCAACCAGCGCTGCAGCGAGCTGATGTTCTCTGGAAATTCAGGAAATACAGATCACATATTTGTTTAGTTTGTGTCAGCACAGAGACTGTATGCTGACTGCTCAACCTTGCGATGCTTGTTATGAGTTGTACATCCACAACAAATGAGCCAGAGAGCTGTAGCAGCGAGGGGAGCAGCTGCACCACTTCCTCCATCACTACCTCAGACCCTTCTTCTATGTCTGGGCACGGTCAACCCACCTTGCTTTCTGACACCACCCAGAATGAAGTGCCGCCCCCTCCTCCCCTCCCGCCCCCACCTCCTGGGGCACCGCCGCCCCCTCCGCCCCTGGCAAACACATCATCCAACCACAATGGGAGGAAAAAGCGCCGGGTCCGCAGCTTCTACTGGAAGCCTATCCCAGAGGAGAAGGTGCGCGGGAAGCCGAACATCTGGACGCTGGCGGTGCGGCAGCAGCAGTACCAGATCGATGTTCGCTCGGTGGAGGAGCTGTTTGGGCAGCAGGAGGATGCGGGGACGGGCCTCCGTGGGTCAGCAGCATCAACTGCAACATCAACTCACGTATCCCGATCACGCTCCTTTAAGGACACCAAGAAAGACGAGGTGAGTGACTGTCATGAAGGTTTAAGACGGGCGCTTAAAATACTGAACTTCTGACAATTAATGGTGAGTTTAGACTGCAGACATTAAGGTGGTGATTAAGGTTCAGGCATGAATTAACTAGATTAGATTTTTCTATTGAATGAGTTGTTAAATTATTGCAAGTATGAACTCCATCCACTCCCAGTGTCTCCAACCATGTCCAATACTGGTTAACTCAACATAGACAGTTGCAGCATGCTTTAAACACCATCTTTAGTTCAAACCACAAAAGTGCCCAGTTGCTATTTAAAAGTAGTAATTGGGCCTCAGGGGTCATTTTTTAAAAATGTATGTGCTGCACAGTCACGTGTTTTCTGTGCGAGTCGTACAAGCTTCTGAAGGAGGTTTGAACCTCACATAGAGACAACCAACAACACCCAGGAATGGGTGTGTTTGTTTGGCTGTATTTTAACTAGAGCTTCAACAGAGTTTTATCGTAGTGTCTTGTGTTTTTTTTCTTTCCTCAGGTCAACATCCTTGACTCAAAGAGGGGGATGAACGTGGGCATTTTCCTCAAGCAGTTTAAGAAGTAAGTTTCCCAACTGTTACCATTGATTATATTGACGTATATTGATTTGAAATCTGTGTTTTTGTAAGTTCACCAAAAGGCTTCAGTTAAGAATGAGGAAAAAAGATTTGTGCTCACTTTTTCAGTTTTGTCTTATTTTACAATATTGTATTATTCAGTAAAAAAAAAAAAAAAAGCAAACGCTAGATTTTTGGAAATATTTATGGGTGTTTTCTTGTTTGTTTGTTTTTGTGCCTCTTGAACACTAAAGAGACCCTACAATGACAATGGCCAGCAGTGGCCCCCAGATCATTTAAGTTTGAGACCCCTGAGCCACAGAATAAACCAGTGTATGAATGCAAAGTTAAAATCTGACTTTTAATCTGAAGTGCTTTGAATGGTCAGTAAGACATGAAAAGTACAAACCCATTTCTGAAATTTGTTGGGAAGTTATGTAAATAAGTGTAAAAGCAAAACAAACCATTGCAATGACTGAACATGCAACATTTTAAGACATATCGTGCTTCCATTTGCTCACACACACACACACTGAAACTTTGAGCATCACTTTAGTGGCAGTGGTGACGTAGTTTTCGTAAAACCTTTCTTGCTCTATGTTACAGGCAGTGTTTAATTTTGTCAAGTACAGAGCTACTTAAGGTAGAGGATTAAATGACCATCATTAGAAGAGCAGTGAGGTTTACCATAACCAAAGAGTTTACTGTGACCAACCAACAAAAAATCCCACGAACGGTTGTTTGACTTTAACTAAATTAGAGATTGTTTTTTATTTTCCCTCGTGGCTTTTCCAAGCACGCCTCTCATCAGCTCTTCATGCTGTTGCTAAGGACAGTTCAGATCAGATGCTATCATTATCATGGACACGTTCTCATTTTCAATCAATCAGTTTAACTTTCATAACTAAGGAAAGGGTCCAAATCTGTGCCAGGTAGTCTAATAAGCCTTCTTAGGCATCCATTGTTCTAAATTATTTGGTTCGGGAAGTTTCAAAGTGAGTTTGACCAGACTCAGGATTGAGTTGCATAACTTGTCTAGAATAGAGAGCAAAAAGTGTGTTAGGTATCTGTTTGCCTGAAGGTCTATTTGCATGGCTCTCCACAGGATTTTAATGACATTTGACTGCGAGCCATTGCACTGAGTCAAGACAGAGTAGGAGCAGTGACCTCATTACAGTCAGCGTTTACTTTTGTTTTTGTTGCTTTTTATTTTAAGGAGTATGCATTAATCTTCTGCTGCAATGCATTTGAGCCAATTATGCCATAAGCTGCACTTTACGCAGCACTTTACTATAAAACGACTGAAAACTCGAAACCTCAAACATAAAGTGAATTACTTTTACAGCTTGTTGTAGCATTTAATGATTTCCACCCCAGTCAGCTAAGAGCTTTTTTTTTTTTCTTCTTCTTTCTTTTTTTAATACACCTGTTACATTAGAAATATTTGGATCCTGTCACTGATATCAGTAGACGGTAGCCTGAGGCATAAACAAGAGTTTAAGCAAATTTGATTTCTTGCTGTGCTGGAGAATGTGACAGTGACAGCCCCAAAAACATAGATGTATATTAGTATATTGCATATATTAGAGTGATTTCTTATGTTTGCAATATGTTGTAGTATTTAAAATAGTTCAGTCTTTTACTGTCCTTGTTATCATGGAGCAACTGTAACCACATAATTTCCTTAGGGATTAATAAAGTATTCTGACTGTGATTGATTAGAAATTGTCTTTTTGTTGAAAATACCACCAAGTGGTTCCCGCCTTGTTTAAAAAAAATAAAAGGGGGGGGGGGGGGTTCCAACTTCAGTATATTCACACTCAGTCATCAGCCTACCTGCACAGGTCTACACCACAGAACTGGAAATGAAATTCCCATCGTTGATCGGGAGGGAAAATGTGTACCCTTCCTGGTGTTGGAACAATGAACCAGCTGTTTATCCTCTCATGGCTATTAAAGGGTTTGTGGGAATTTCCACAAACAGTCTAATATTATCTTTGTGAAAAACAAATAGATAAATAAATGTCTCATTTTTTTTTATATTGCACTGAAAAGTTCTTTATAGGCTTCAACGAGGCTTTGAACTTTTGCCGGGTTCGTTACTTAAAAATAAATAAATCTTATCTTTGTCTCCCCGTCTGATTCGGGGTCTCCACAGCATCTCACCCCACCCCTAACATCCTCCCCTATCACACCAGTATCCATCAGTCTCCTCTGTGTTCTTCGTCTGTTCCTCCTACCTGGCAGCTCCATCTTCAACACCCTTTGTCCAGTATATCCCCTTTCCATCGTCTGCACATGTCCAAACCATGTCGGCCTCGTCGCTCAAACTTGTCGTCAAACCGCTCAACCTGAATAATCACATGGAGCAAATAATTCCTTTTTCCACGTTCTCATCCTAACATTGCAAGAAATTCAGAAAATAAAACCTGGTAATTTAACCTAATAAAATAAATGACCATATCACGAGTTAAATAAACATGTATTGCATACCTTTTGAAGGCTGGCATTTGTTAAAGTGTTTGAATCACATCTAAGTGTCAGCTTACCTAATATTGTCTTTTTAGTCATTTTAAAGCCTCAAACATGAAAGTAGACCAGTTGTGCCCTAAAGGGTTTGTGAAAACAGATTTCTCTTTTATTTATATTGCTAATAAGAAAGCCAGGCAGAGACGCCTAATGCTCTCTGCAAAAGCTGTGTTTTGTGCCTTTGTAAACAGAGGAGGGCAGGCATTAAAGGAAGCACCTGTGCAATTTATCTCTGAACTTTACAGAAACAAACTGTCTTTCAGGTCCAACCGCTCCATTGTCGAAGACATACGAAAAGGAGAAGGAAAGATTTATGGAGCGGAGCTGCTCAAAGACCTGCTGAAGCTCCTGCCCGACGCAGAGGAGGTCCGTGTTTGTGTACTTGCCTGTGATTTTTAGCCAAGCATGAATAGCATTAAGCTTTTGAATCACAGAGCACAGCTAATGATAAAAGGCAGTTTACGTGGATTGAAAGCGCCCTGCTGAGCTTCCTGTTCCTCTTTATTTTCTCTGCAGATTAAGAAGCTGCAGGCATTCAAAGGAGATCCAGACAAGCTGACACTGGTCGATTCCTTTATGTACCTCTTGATCCAGGTGCCACGGTGAGTTGGTTTCAGTGGGCATGTGTATATAATCCAGTTTCCATTAAAAAGGAATGTCAAGTCAGCAGTTTGACAGTCAGTGGAAGATAAAGACTCAAAACTGAGTGCAGAGTTTCATGATTTTGTGCCGACTCTCCAAAGAGTTTACGGCTGCTCTCTGACTTGTATTTAATCTATCAAGTGTTCATTTTCAATAATATTAATACGACTGGGGAATGTTCACATTTGTCAGCTTTGTAAAAAAGGATATAATGCTTGATTTCATTTAATCTCCTTCCTTTGGATGATAAAACGGCCCATCCACACGTATAAAGGGTCTTATTACATAATATTTTCAGTTCATTCAACTGAAAACATGTTTTCATCTTTTCTGAACGGGGACTGTGTAACTTCCTTTGAATTTCCTTTTTGTCCAGCAGCACTGTGTGATAGCGCATTAAAATGGTATTAGTGTCATTCAGAGGATGCAGTCCCTGCAGGGATTATTATGGAGAACTAATGCAGACTGATTGGGCTGAAATGGAGCATTTGTCCAGTGAAATTAGTCAGAAGTCGTTTTTGGTTCGTGCTATAATTGAAATGATGATTAGAAAATATTATGAGGATGTTAAGGTGCTAAAAGTCGTCAAGTTTTACTGCCACTCAGCAGCAAGATGGAGTGTTAAGGTACTCTCCAGGGGGAAGCAGGAGGCATTTCTCTCAGCCTGCTGCATTATAATAACAATTTGTCTTTTCTTAAGGATCTCAGTGTTGAGCAAGAGAGTCGAATCTTTTCTCAGATTTAAACTCTGAACTCCGTCTCTGACAGGTTCGAGGTTCGGATTGAGGCCATGGTCCTCCAGGAAGAGTTCCTCCCTTGTTGTGCTGCGATGGGCCATGAGATTGATGTCGTCCGTGTTGTGACTAAACGTAATAATAACACACTGGCTCTAACACATTTGCACACACACAGAAAGCAGGACGATCTCATTTTGACGTGAGGACACTCATGACCAAAAAAAAAGCAGTTTCATTGAAATGTAACTTAAGAGTCGAGCAGCTCTATACATACTAGTTACTCACAGTGTTGGTTTATTAAAAAATGAATAAATAAAAAATAACTTTATATAGTCACCACAGTGTGACCTGTTAGGCCATGGACTACCATTTGAAAGACCTGAGTTTGGCTAGTTTGGTCATTTCGCTTGTTTTTTATTTATTTTTGTAAGCCAGCTGTACTCTGTTAAATGTATTGCTAGCTTGGGTAGCATCGTGCTATAATCTATCATTTACTGTAATGTTAAAAGGCACGCTAACCTTCACTAGCAGCATCCTTCCATACAGTTAGAGAGGTGAGTTCCAACCTCACATGTGAACACGATGAAGAAATGCCGCTGTGCTTTCTCAGACCTTTCAGTCAAAGTTAAACAAGCTGTGGCTGCGTTTATACACGCAATGTTTTATTGTGAATAACATATGAGGTTTTTTGTAATTTGCAATTCATCAGTGTCCCAACTTTTCTGGAGGAATTTTGTTCATGTTTAAAAAAACAAAACAAAAAAAACACCCTCTTTACAGTTGTCATAAAGAGGGAGAAGTTCTTGTACCATGAACATGTTTATTTCAGCTTTGAACGTGGATATTTTAACATACCGTAGGACTCTTTGGGGATGTTTCCAGCCTCAAGTGGCCACTTCAGGAACTGCAGTTTTGACACTTAAAATTTCAGTGGTGGAGGTTGCTGCAAGTCTCGCACTGACCACATTATGTAGTATTTATCATGTTTTTTTTACTTATTATCACTGAGACAAAGCTAAGCTGATGGAAACAGTATTTGTTTTGTATGGGTTATATAACAACGTGCTGGATCTTGTGACCTGATGGTAGCACTTAATAAGGGATCACTGTGATGATCCAAAAGGTTATTACAGTTTATCTCATGAATGTGCACACTAATATTATATCTTTTCTTTTTTTTTCTTCTGGAGCTAAAGCTGACATGTACTGTTGAATTTGTGATTTACTGTAAAATCACCATATTGATAAACTGATCTGGAAACCTTTTTAATTATTCTATTTTCAGCCACTGGTTGAACCAGGTTGCCATTTTAGCTGAGTCACACTGTCTTGCGTCTTTGTGCTGTATTGGATTTTATCTTAAGACCCTCCTCTCCAGTACTGTGACCTTTTCACTGCATTGCAGGGCAATCACTTAAACACTGTGTGGAATAATTACCTGTAACTTTTATGACAAAATATAATTAAAACTTTTCAATGTGCTAACATTTACCCTTTTACTTTAAAGTGGTAATTTTAGGTTTATGACTGAATCACACAAGGACACATTACTGCTGATAGATTTCCTGTATGGTAGTGATAAATGAAAACGAGATGGTTTGTCATACATCTTCTCTGGAGTCTCTAATTGAGTTTATATTGATATCTCCTTAAAGAGCTGATGAGCTGTGAGGAGCTTCATGCTATCCTGCATCTGGTGCTGCAGGCAGGAAACATTATGAACGCGGTAAGAGCTTCTCAGGTTACGTTCGTATACGCGAACACATCTCCGCTGCCTCTGAACACGCAAGATGTATCGATTCAGTCCTGATTTTTTATTTTTTTTTGTATTTTTCCAGATAAATAAATAATAAAACCTTTTGTCAGTATTTGTTGGAAACCAAAACAAAATCACTGCTCAGAGAAGAAAGCTGTACTGTGGTCTCTCGCTATAACGCGGTTCACCTTTCGCAGTCTCGCTGTTTCACAGAATTTTTTTGGTGCAATTTTGCATGCTTTTTTTTTTTTCTCACAGCGCATTGTGTTCTGCATCCTGATTGGCTGTAGACCATTGTCAGGCAATCTCGTGCCATGCCTCCTGTACAGTACAGAATGCGTTCAGCTTGTCAAATTTACATAAATCTTCGTTAGCAGTGTGACTCTGAAGTGCTGCACTGTATGTTTGTACGTTTTCTCCCCAACAAATAATTCATTCTATATTGGACCTGTTTTTCTACGAAGGTTTGAACTTGTTTAAACAAGAGAGAAAAGTGTTAATGTTCATGCTTGTCTGAGAAAAGTGTCTAAAGTGTGTAGTGAGGGGTTTTACAGCCTTAAAATATCTATAATAATTAAAAAAAATAAAGTTGGCTACTTCGCAGATTTCACCTATCGCGGGTTATTTTTGGAACGTCACACCTGCATTAAACGAGGGACCACTGTATCACTCGGGCAGAGTCTTATTGTTTCACGTTATTTCCAGCTGTGATTCTATGATATTGTTCATTTCTCTGTGTAAAATATCCCTCTGTTCTCAGGGTGGCTATGCAGGGAACGCTGTGGGATTCAAGCTGTCATCCCTCCTTTCACTGGCTGACACCAAAGCCAACAAGCCGGGGATGAACCTGCTGCATTTTGTGGCCATGGTCAGTGACGCTGTAGTAGAGTACACACAAAACACCTGTAGACACTGCAGATGTTTGTAATGTGGATTCAGTCCTGGTTTCAGAACCACTTGAGCATGGAATTACATTACCGCTTACACTCACTGGCCACTTTAGTAGGTACAGCTGTTCGACCGTTCGCACAGGTCAGCAAATGACGTGGCAGCAATTCATTGCATTTAGGCATATAGACACAGTCACGTGTCGAGTGCGGGTTCACAGAGAAGGGTGTGCAAAAAGAGGAGATGACCAGCAGCAGGGTGAAAATGCCTTGTGGATGCTAGAGGCCAGAGAAGAACGGCCAGACTGCTTTAAGATGATAGAAAGACAGATAACCAAGATGTGCAGGAGAGCATCTATGAACACACAGCACATTGAACATTGGAGCTGATGGGCTACACCAGCAGAAGAGCATCACTGGGCACCACTCCTGTCAGCTAAAACGACATGAAGGCATGTATCTGTCCTGTGCTTCTGGCTGTTGGTGTAATGCTGTGAGGGATATTTTCCTGGCACACTTCGGGCTCCATAATGCTAACTGAGCAACAGTTAAACACCACAGCTTACCTGAGTATTGATGCTGACCTTATCCTACTGTTATGAGCACAGTGTACCATCTTCTGCTTCCAGCATGTCACAAAGCTCAAATCATCTCCAACTGGTGGCCGATTACCAGGTTTCAGGTGTTGAATTAATTGTTTGTTTGCACTGTGTCAAACCTCTACTCTGTGCATTTATCTTAAAAATGATGAATGGTTATATTAACAGGTTTATGGTTGTATTAACAAGACGATAGCAGAACTGAAAAAAGCTGGATTAACCTCACAATAAGCAAAGATGCATTTACTGTACAAACACTGTAGGAAAGTCTGTCATAAAGAAATTCAAATCAGTGTTTTACAGCAGTGATGAGAAAACTGTTTGACCACTGAAGCTGCAGGAGAGCAGGTGGACAGCAGATGGTGACAGGAAACGGCACAGAGCCAAGAACGGCTCGCCAAGCAGTTACATCACCATACAGATATTGGTCCTTCATCACAACAACTACGCCACTTTATCTTGTACAAAATCAGACATTTAGATGTTGACTGTGCGATGTCTCTCTCCATGCAGGAGGCGAAGAAAAAGGACGAGAAGTTGCTCACGTTTCCTGAGAAGCTTCAAGATGTCCAGAGTGCAGCCAGGTAATCGAAGGGAATCAAATCCTTGCCAGTGAGAAATGTAGGAGTCCATTATCAGTTTTGCAGTCATGCAGAGGTGATAATGGACTCGTATAAAAGCTGTTTATTCTCCAAGTGCATGCAGTCTGAAGCAGGGTGAGTTAAGGACTGTGAGAGCATAAGTGTCAGTTTGTATCAGTCAGTTGCACAGCAGACATCAGTTTTCTGTAAAGCCTCTGTAAAATGAAATGATTTCCAAATTAACCACCATCACATTTATTAAACAGCCAAATTTTCTGATGGGAAACATAATGAGGCGCTGAAGACGACGATTGCCGTAGTATTTTATTGATACGGCCAAGCACAGCCTCATTAACCAGGCTGACGTCTAATTTAGGTGTAGAACAGGAGTTATATTCACAGCACAGTCTCAGGCTCTGTCAGCTTCACAAGGTCATCTCTGTGCTGTCAGTGCAGATACTGCACCGCAGAGAATTACTCCTCCCTCCTGCCCTCAGGATAGAGACCCTGAAAGCATTTCTCCCTGCGGTCTACATTTTCAACAGTTTGGAAGTGCATTCATCAAATTAATGTCACATGTTTGTTTGTTTTTTTAAGTAATATAAGGAAGACCGCTTACACTCCTGTCCGTCAGTTTTTATGTAATAACAAGTACAAGTGTGTTTTAAATATCTTTCTCCTGTGTTCATGTAGAATTTCAGTGGAAAACATTGAGGAGGAGTTTTCCTCCTTGTATGTCCGAATCAAATCCCTGGAAGAGAAAGTTCAAGGAGACCAGGAGCTGCTGCAGCAGCTGGAGCCCTTCCTGCAGGTGAAGCAGCAGCAGTTAGTTATGTAATACATTGTGTACACAGACACATGTACAGAAAGTTGGATCCAGCCCGCTCCACATTTGTGAAGCTGCTGACTTAAGTGCTATAGATAATGACTTGTGTAAAAGTGGATGATGCGTTATGAATAAAAAGTGTGCATGTGTGCTCGGTCTCTTGTCTTAGAGTGCAGCACTGACACTTCAGGACTTAAAGAGGCGCAGGCTGGATCTGCGTAAAGAGGGAAGTACTCTCATCGATTTCTTTTGTGAAGACAAGGACACGTTCAAGCTGGACGAGGGCTTCCGGATCTTTCAGGACTTCTGCATCAAATTCAAGAAAGCTGTTAAGGTCTGCTTGAGTGAAGCAATAATTCTGGGTTATTATAATCTCCTATGATGTTGTCATTTCTTGCTTGTCTTCTACATGCGTGGTAATTGTTCATGGTGATCCACTGTTAAAAAAACTCAAAAATAAGTGAGTTGGATGTCACCATCATTCATGTTCCTGATTCTCAGAATTCTCCTTCCTTACATTTCTGTTTCCATCAGGACAACACGGACCGGGAGTTGAAGGAAGCAGCCAGACAGCGTCGTCTCAAAGAACTGGAGGAAAAGCGTTTTGCGTGGTCGAGCGGGGATCAGACCGGCGGATTTGGTCGCAGCAGCAGCGAGAACGACGTGGAAATGCTCACCAAGGAGGGCCTCCTGGAGTTTTTCCAGAGGTCTCAGAGTCCACACTGCCCGCTGGAACGTTCTGCCAGCGCACGCCGACACCGACACACCATGACCTCCATAGCAGATCGTGAACTCCAGGGATACTTGGAGCTGTTCGGAAGCACAGGGAACACCTCTGACTTTTCAAAATTTAACAGCCTACCTCGGTTAGGCCGTCCTATCCAGCGGAGGATGGCCCCCTGGATGTTAGGCCAGGACAATAACCGGGAACTGGGCCGTGAAAGAAAAGCAACGTCTCCGCATTCAGAAACTGAGCCGATCGTCTCACACGCCAAGTTTTCTTCCTCTGAGCTAAACGATAACGGGGACAACAACAACAACAACAATTACTCATCTGTGTCAGAGAGCAGCGCTCTGCCTCGGCCCTTTTGTGTCTTTCAGAAGCCTGCCCATATTCCCAACCCAGCAATTACTGGCCACATGAGTGTTAGTGTGGAGAAGCATACTTTAGTCCGAGGTCCTCAGGCTTTTGACCTAATCAGTCCAAACAATAACAGCAATCACATGCACTTTGTCAACCGGGGGGACGTTGTGGTGACGGATCTGGAAATAGGGAGACAGTCACCACCCAAGAATCTGGACAACCTTTCACATGATACATTCTTGGAAAGGGGGGGAAATCTAAAGGTAGTATGGGAAGATACAATAGTTCCTCCAACTCAGGCTGGGGTCTCTCCTCAGAGAGAGAAAGACGAAGAGGACTACAGCACAGTTTCATCCACAACCTGTGATACCCCTCTTCCACTAGATACCTCTGTATCCAACAAGAAGCCAATGTTTTATATAATGGACTGCACAGAAACGGACATCTCTGTCACCTTGGATTGCTCTGAGGTGGAATCCTCTTCTACAAAAGAAGGACTTCATTTCCAAACAGCTGACTGCATCAAAGATCAGGAGAGTCGGCAAGACCCGCAATCCACATCTCCCAACGACCAGTCTGCTTCAACTAATGAGCTCTCAGCCCCCAAATCTGTGGATGCAGCATCTATGGCTCCATCTACTACCACAGAAGAGTGGGACACGGAGAGCTGCGACACCGCTGAAGGAAAACAGACTGCGGGGAAAGATGCACAACGAAGCAGCCGAAAGCCAGCGCCTACAAAGAGCAAAGGCAGCAAAGCAACCAAAACCAGTGCAGGCCATGGTGTGCGAACGCTGGCCAACAACGATAACCAGGGTATGCGGAAAGTCATCCCTATTACCAAGCTGACCAGGACAGGTAGCAGCAGGCGAGCAGAGAAACCTGCAGTTCACGATAGCGGGGAGACACGGCGGCCTCCCCGTGACCAGAGCACTCCGGCAAGAGGAAGGAGCGAGAAGACAACGAGACCTCCTCGGCACTCCAGTTTGCCTCCTGATGAGTCAAAAGCCCAGAAGGGAGGTGCTCTCACGGGCAGCGTTTCTAGATGGGCACGTGATTCAATGCCTAGGAAAGCTTCAATCCACAAGCCAAGCGCCAAACCCGTGAGGAACATTCCCAAGCCGGCGCCTGAGGAGAAGATGTGCCGCTCTACTATGAGAGCCCTCGCTCAAGCTCAGGCTCAAGCTCAAGCTCAGACATCTCCTGAGAACAGCAGTTCACACACACACAGTGCAAAAAACACTTCTGGAGTCCCCAGCTTCGCCCGCAATACTGTGGCCTCGTCTTCCAGGACCAGGAAAGAGCTGGGCCCTCCGTCGGTCCCTTCCACCCCGTCTCGCAGCCCCTCCCTCCTGGGTCGACAAAAGCCGACCCGGGCATCACACGCAGGTCACACCAGTGACGAGCGGCCACAGGCAACAAGCCTGCGGCGGGTGCAAAGCGTGAAGGCAACAAGCTGCAGCACCTACCGTAGCGAGACCCCGCCTCCCCCTGTAGCACGTGAGAACGTTCGTAAATCTAGCAGCTTCTCTGAAAAGTCTGTGCAGCCCAGAGACTTGATGACATCCAGCAGAAGCAGGAAGCCGAGCTGGAAGTAAAAAACAAAACAAAACAAAAAAAACCTGACTGCAGGATAACAGGAAGCAGGAAGAGAGGACTTTTTTTTTTTTTTTTTTTTGCTTGTTTTTTGTTTTTTTTTACCTGCTTCGGCGTGAACTCACGTTCGCTCTGCTCGTCTAGAGTTATCCATGCATATCAAACAAAAGCATGTTAAGCTTTCTCACTGTGTAAGAATCCCTCTGTAGCTGGCTCTGTATCAGGTTTACGAATCACAAAGAGCAAGATGCAATGAAGTGCACACATTCCTCATTTCCTCTTCTTGTTTTTTGTTTTTGTTTCTAAGGGTCGGAAGAAATCTAAACTGACAAGTGGCGAATTGGTGCTTTTACACTGCAGCCTCTTTGCCTGCTTAGCTGTCTGCGTTCAGTATGTTTTGGTGTCTGTGACGCTGTTGACGTCAGACACGACTACATAAAGCTGCTAATTAGCTCTGACAGACTTGAGACCGACTTTCAGCGTCTGTTTCATTCAGGGTTACGAGATTTGTTGTACCTCACCTCGCTGCTGTCACGGTGTCTTTTTCACTTTGCTGCTTCTTCCCGTAGACTAACAGCGCTCCGTTTGCTTTGTGATTCTTTTTGCTTGATACCTCAGAACGATCGCAGTGGCCTTGCACCAGCAGAAAAAGTAGACTTGTTCATTTGGTTCTGCATGATGATGACGATGTAGACAAAATCAGATCAGTTTTACAAAAAAATAACTGCAATGTCACTTTTTAAGAAATTCCTGGTATACTGTATTAATGTTACAACAATATATAAAAGTCACACATATTATGCCAGTGTGTATACCAACCGTGGTACTTCTCGTACTGTATCAGTAGTTTGTAAATGTGTTAGGACTCCTCCATAATATTTTGGAGTAGACATGCACGTGGGAAATGTTTCCTGTTTCAGCTAATACATGAAAAAAACGCTAACGCTGTGAAAGAAAACCACCGAGCGCAACAGAAACACAAAGACACTGATGCCATCATCAGTCATGTTTTTAGAGTCTGACCTAATTTTTCTACTGTGAACATTGTCGTCTCATATTTTCTCTAGGCTTGTTCAATTACAACAGTAAGCCCGTGGTTGTAATTCAGCCTGGATCTAGTTTGTTGCTGTCATGAGTGTCAGAAACAGGCTCATTTAAATTTATCCCCAGTGATAAATTTATTATTAAAAAAAAAAAGAAAGATTCGCTGTACTGAAGGTTTTTCCTTAAATTCTTGGAAACAATTTCAAGCATTTAAAAACACTCAGAATAAGATGTTCAGAGAGTTTCTCAGGCTGCGACTGCATTTTCTCTTCGTTCAGTCAAAAATGACTCTAGGACAAAAGTATGGTTCACGAATGACAAACTCAAAAATAGATTAGATACTTTGTTGCACCAGTGTGAACAAAAACAGCTGGCAGAGGTTATACATTTTCTTCTACATCACACAAATTGAACATAAACATGCTAAGATGATATAATGTTATAGTATATGCACTATATGGACAAAACTACCAGCTACAGATTACACTGACAGGAGCTGCTTGGACATGGAAACACAAAACACAATACTGCGCTAATACTTTTGTTTATTTCTGTAGTGCAACCAAACCAAATGTTTCTCCAAATGAAGTATTAGCTGTTTGTAAATTCAGATGGTTTGATGAGCTTTTAAGGATTCAGTAAAAATCTTCAGTACAGCAGCAGGAGCTGACAAACGACGGTCTTTGCTTTTCAGATGTTGGAAGTTCTTCATGTTTCAGAAAATAAAAAGTAATGTAAACATCATGTAAGTGCAGCACCGCCGACCACTTTGCACCACTTGCCTTTTAGAATACATTGTGCCATTGCCTTGATGGAAACAACACTCTCAACAGTGCATTGCCTTAAAGCTTAATGTAGCCGATCAATCACCAGTAGAAGCTCCTTGATTGTAAAAGGAGAGTAGAAACTTTACTGCCTTCCATCACATCAAAGTCAAACTCTGCTGGTCACTTTGTAAATAATGTAAAGATGTTTTCTGACCATTCATATGTTTATATTTCATAAAAACATAAAGAGTAAGAGAATAAATCATGTGTGCACGCACAGATGTTTAAAAAGCAAGGGTCGACCTGTAGGGTGTGGACACGCTGCGAGTGTCTTCCTGTTCCCTGTCATGCAAATGAAACTGATGGACTGATGACACAATAGGCCCAGTGTGACAAACCACTGTGTGTGTGGCCTGACGCCACCTAAATATAGATCCTCCTGTTACAGTATCAGAGTTATTTAGGGCTGTGATAGTTGCTATTAACACATGTTTTCAGGAATTTTAAATCCCACCAGTAGCAAAAATCAGAAGTAATCTTCAAGCCCATCAAACCAAAGGAATCATTTGCGATGCTTGTTTTTGTCCAACCATCTGAACCAGCTGTTTGTTTTCTAAATAAATTAGAAATCTCACATTTTCAGCACTAAAATAATGACTTCTGAACTTAATGTCTGTCTGGAGCAGTTACATTAAAATGTATTTGATGTATGAAAAAACAAGTGGATGTGTTTGAACATTTTGGAAAACCCTTAACTGACACTTTTAGACTCCTTTGAGATCTTTGAAAGATTGCCCTTCTGTAAATGTAACCTTTTTCAGACTACACTGACAAAAAAAGAAAAGTGTCCACTTCATTTCTAACCAAAGCTGAGTCATGGAAATGTCCACTCTTTAAAAAAAACAAACAAACAGAAAACTCCAACTGTTTGATGACCTCATGGAAAGATGATGCTTCCACAACCGCGCCATCATTTTAAGCTTTACAATGGGTGCCCTTTACATTACATGACAACAGCTTACAGCAGCAGAGCTGCTTGTGAGTTTGAATGCTTGTTCGCTCTCGTCACCACAGCTTCTGCATTTAAGGAATGGTTACCATAGTAACATTAGTTTCCATTATAAAGTGTCCTGTCAGCTCTGTACAGCAACACCTTCGTCACGTTACAAGTTTTGTAGCGCTGCTTAAAAGTTACGTGACTTTATAAAGTTTGGAGTGAGTCATTTTTATCTGTTGTATTTCGTTACTGACACACGCCGACTCCACTGCAACAAGCCTGTCTTACTGTAGCATTCGTTGCCCAAGGATGTATTTGTACTCTGATGTGATTCTCTGAGAATAGGACTTGTCTTTTGTTTTCACAGCTGAGGCAAATAGGTGCTCTGCTGCTCTGCTCGGTCATCTCTAAATCTGAAGTTTCATGATTGGAAAAAACAAAAAAAGCTCCAATACATAAAGAAAATGACCACCTCTGATCACTAGACCGCAGGGCTGCGAAATGTGTTATTACTGTTCCACTTTATATCTCTGATGCTGATATAAATAAATCACATTGCTGTGTAAACTGGAAACTTGCTCCTCCCATTTCTTTAACATTTTTTCTGCATGCACAGAAAAGCTCACGCCCCCACTGGAGGCACTTTTGAATTCATTACATAAATCCAAGTAGAACAACAAATGAAAGATCAGCACATGAGCGTCAGCAAACTCATGTTTGTTTAGTTTTCCTTTCAGAAGTCATTTTATTTTATAATGTTCCTCTTGTTCATCCAAGGCCCACTTACAGTGGCGCTGTGTCCCACAGATGGGTCCCGCCCCACAGTTTGAGAATCAGTGATTTCTAATTGAACAGATGGATATCCGGTAATAATCATGAATGTTTGAAGAATCTGGTCTGCTGAGCAGGCTGAAGTTGTGCATATTTAATAGTCGGCATGATGATGTACGATGGTGAAATCAACAACTACACCTTCTACAGAGAAATACTGCTGAAAGTTTGCTAAACTAACTATTTCTGCTCCGTGGATTCACAATCTGAGCCCTGAATCTACTGTTGCTCATTAATATTACACTGCTGAGGGAGGCTGCTGCTATTGGGGAGTGCATTATCATAGACCTGTGCTTCTATCATATAACTGTGACAAACAAATGTGATCTCTGTGTTAAACAGAAAATTAGGCTTTAACAAGATGATCTAGTAATTTTACTGACTCAGTGTATGGAAAAATACTTCCCCCTCTATGTTTACACCACTAGAGTGCAGCAGAGTATGTCTGAGCTCTTCTGTGACTCAAACACATGCTTGTCTCCACCTACCTTACCACATCATGCCTTCATAAACTGCACCCTCTGCTGTATTTTCCCAGTAATAATGATTTTTCTCAGAAACAAATATGCATAGTTTATTGCAGAATGTTAAAACAAATTCACAAAACTAATAATGCTGTATAAATTATATAATACTGTATGATCATTCAAAAGCTGGTCTGAGAATTGTCTCTCTTCCTGTAAAATTAAAGCCAGCATGTTAACACAGCAGGTCTAGAAGTGTATTCACTGTGTGGAAGAATCTTTTTTTGAGGTTTGTGTACATCACCTAAAAGAATCTTTGACAAATGCATGAATGATAATGATAAAACCATCAAGGACTCAGTTGTTTGACAGTACACTTATCTATTCTGTACATCCATAATGATTTTGATTTAAGCCCTTCTGTAGTGTCTCCTTAATATTCATACAGATGGTGTTATAGATACTCAGGAAGACCTCGGAGGTGCCATGGTGATGCCACAGGGTTAACCTGAAAGGACAAGTTCAGCTTTCAGAATGTTTTCTGGCTTTTCAGTTCCTCTTCAGAGATTTTAGAGGGTTTGCTGTTACATACCCGTTGGTTTAATGCCAGGACTTTTTTGTTTTTGAATGATTGTACACAGCAACATAGTAAAAAAATCAATAATCATGTTTTTCTGATTCCAATTTCCTAAAAAAAGATAGCTCAAGGTCGCGGTAAGGACACCAAACAAACCTGACTGTCACTTGGACACCCACAAGGTGGAATCTGCTCGGCCTCGTGATGACTTCAACAAACTTTTCGAGCTGACATTAATAATTTTTGGCGATTGTCTCCCAAGGGATTCCCGCTCTTCAGTTAAGTGCCCATCACCATGTCAGATGGATGGAATAAATGATTTACGCTGACCTGAAATGCGTCACACAGTGTT